CGATGGGAGCCAAAGGAGAAGAACTAGTGTTTCCAGCAGAGCAATAAGGATAATTTTAAGTACAGTTAGAGTATAGTTTCTATCTGGGAAAAGTAACCAAATTAAGTTTTGCTTGATAGCTCAAAGCATTATTGCAACATTCTAATTCATATGTCACTGGCAAAGGAACAAAAAGGGAWTTTTTTTTTAAACATTCTCTTAACTGCTATCCAGAACATCCAGGTTAAATTGTGAATTCAAAATGCAGCTTGCACAAAGTTGAAAGTCTAGCTTATTGAGTTAACACTGTGCTTTGCTATGTTTGGCTAGACACCAGTAAGTAATCACAGCAGTGCATCTCAAGCAAATACGAAAGCTATAGATGTCTTTGGATAAGAGATGAGCCAGTGTGCTGTTTTGAAGCTTCTCCAGTTACTGTTTTGCTTGCAAAATCAATTTGTAGCACCTATTAATCTAAGCCTTACAGAATTCCGAAGAGGATTCTATGCCACAGCTTCATTTATAATGGCAAATTAGGTCTCCTGCTTAGTGCAAGGAGGATCATCGGAAGATTCAACTGTTTTAGCCACATATAGCAGAGAATTTTCACTGACTAAGCTCACTTCCAGTGAGCATGGGAGGGTGGTACTTCCAGCTCTCGCAGGCATTTTTTTTTAAAGCTCTTTCATCCTCTCATGCCCAAGCTGTGTGCTAAGCAGCCTGCAGAACTGCTTGCAAGCCACTGCATTAGAGTGTGGGTGCTTCAGAAAGTCTCTCGTGTCTGACTGCTAGCAGTCTGTCTGACACTGCATGTGGCTGGAGCAGTTATCCCCAGCTACATTGCTCCAAACAAGTAATATCGTGCAAAATACACTTTCTATACTTTTGAAAGGCAAAGGGGAGACTTTTGCTGAGTGTAAGACAATTTTTCTTAATGATAACTTCCTATAGAAAACATTGAAGCCTATCCTGCTGTCCTAGCCAGCAGCTTGCTTGCAATGTGGCATACTGCTTACAAAATCCTAAATAAGTAACTGATTACATRAGATCTATATGGCCTTGCAAGGTTGAGAGCACAACTTAATAGTTATGACGCTGCAAAAGCCAATTACTTCTGGTTTCAGTTACTCAAGACCAACAAGAAAATGAGGCTTCTCAATTTGGTTTGCCCCTATATAYAAAGCTGACCATACATAACGCCAGACACTGAGGCTCAGTTAGTCACTTAAAAATCACACTGGTTAATTCTAGTATTTCCACTAYAAAATACAGGTGAATCATATAGCCAAACCTTTATTAAGGTCCTTGAAACTTAGAAGATACTCCCCCCTGCCCCGCACCACACTGTGGTACATAGCAGTTCTCTAATTATGGCCTTTAACYGTCCAGCCTGTCAAATGTACTAAGAGAAGTTCTGCTGATGGAGGTCAAACTCTTTCTTCTGTAAACAATTTGATACTCAGCAACAAACTAACCTTAAATACACGCTGTTCTCAAATAACATTTTGTTGGTTTTGATCATTATGTAAAGATTTGATGGCAGTTTCATGAACAGCTATGTATAATCTTTACAAAGATATTAATTTCCTTCCACACATTCTAATGATAYGGATTTATAAAACTCCACAATCTCATTGGGCGGGAGGGGGATTCACATTATATTTGAACTTCTGATCTTTTTACTTTCTGAAAAGAAATTTGTTCCTAAACCATTATTTAGAAAGTATTATTTTTAATAAACCATATTTAGGATCCTAGATGGTTTCATATATGCTTAGAGAGGGTCAAAATCTCTCTTCTAACCTTTTTGATTACTGTTGCTTAACTTGAAAAGTAGACGGCATCTATTTATTTTTCCTTTTTTTTTTTTTTTTTTTTTTTTTTTGGAGGAGTACACATAAATCTGGCAGATAACTGAGGCTGAATAGTTTAATACTCCCTAAACGGCATACTGTTTTCTTAAAACCTACAACTACATAAGAGAAATGTGCTTTTTTTAAAAAAAAGTATTTATATATTTATAGTCAAATTCAATTGGCTTCTTTCATGCTTGCACAGGAATAATAATACCGATGCAAGATGAACTGTCTGTTATTTTATATCTGAGTAAACATTTAAGTATTTAGTTAATATATATTAACCCAGTATGTTCTTAATGGTATTTTTCAGATACAGCAAGAATTAAAAAGTCTCTCAAGTCCGTGAGTCTATGCAAGAAAATGSAATTAACTTCTGAAGGGAAAGGGAGAGGAAAAGGAATACACAGCACATAGGCTGATTGCTGCAAATGAAACTGCTTGGTACGTGTTTATCTTTTTTTTCCTCACTGTAACTTTGGGGCAGAGCTGTATTTAGAAAAAGGAACGAGTTGCTAACAGCTTGTAGAAAGCACAAAAGGGACACTCTACCGGTGCTTTTGTACAGCATTCCTGTCATAGTTCCAGCAGCTATGGTATTCAGGTCATCTTCTGCACCTCGTGTTTTCTCTATGACTACTCCAAATGCACTATAAAGCAGAGCTGGAAAAGAAAAGAAACATCGACAAATTAAACCAAACCCTCATTCTCTGAGAACTAAGGCTTAAACGTCAGACTCAGTTTAACTATTTAGGCTACGCTTCTGAAGTACATCTTTTCTCTCCTTTAAGAAAAAATCCTCTACCAAATCTCTTCTGTTCCCCCGCCCCCCCCCAACTCTACTTTTATTTTACAGATAATACTGAATTTYCCAGTTGGGCTTGGTGATAATGTAACATTTTTATGACATGCGGTTGACAGTGCAGCTCCACCTCTGCCTGTACGTGAAAACTTTGTCCTGAGCCCTAGAGAGCTTTGGGACTGATGGGGAATGGATTAGAAAAGTGTATGGGCTTTCAGCAGGGATGCACATATAAACCATGCCTTTTGAAAGGGACTCTCCTGCCCACCTCAACCTGGCCAGAAGGCACCTGTGATTTAGTTAAGTGTAAAATGTTTCATGCTGACAAAGAACAGGACAGTATGTCCTTTTATCATAGCAGAAAAATACACTGTATGACTTCATTCTTTTTTCTCCATTCTTCCAGAATAAGAAACACTTCTGCTAAAAATCATGGTAATTCCTTTATAAGCAGCCATAACACAGTCAATAGGTGGAAAGAAGCATCTTTCTCCACTTAACACAAGCGAGGATATTTTTATCTGCTCTTATCTTAGTACTACAATGATAGTTTTACTCAAYAAAACAAACTACAAAACAACTACAATGATAAGTTTTATTCAACAAAATATTTTGAAATATTTTAACACAGTTGTTGCTGTCCTTTTTTAGAAACAGAATAACAAAAGCTGACACCAGTGACAAAGAAATCCGAGTTACAGAAGCAATGGCACAAGTGAACTGAAATGCAAAATACTTCACCTCCTTGCAAGAACTTCTCTGATAACTAGCACAAGAGGGGGTAATACCAGCTCCTAAAATACTATGCTCTGTTTAATGCTATGTATGAGAGGTCACTTCTTAAAAGAAAAAGCAATAATTTGTTAATGGAACACACCTACATTTTCTTGAGTAATCTTTCCTCAAATACAGCTGGAAAAAAAAGTTAATGTTTCACTTACCCTGGAACCTTGAACCACTGTGTGCCAATGCCTCTTTTCATTTTTTTTTTCCCAGAATTGAAAATACAAGAAGTATAGGCAATATACACCCTAACCAGTCAATCGCTATACTCGGTGTAGTCCAGAATCCCACCTCTGATCACTGCCTCTATATAAGGCATCAAAAGTTCATGTCTGGACTAGACAGCAAACGAATGTATTTTCTATCTATTTCAAAATAATCTTTTTGCATCAGTTTAGGATTTCTTCTTTCATAGTAACTGAGCATGTTCTGCTTTTAAGACTAAAGAAAACCAAACTTGTATTCTCTAGTGTAACAGTTATTTCACAGATACCTACGAAGTCCTCTAGAGTCASCTTTTTGAGGTAAATGGTGGGATTTTTTTCCCCAAAGCTTATCCTATAGCAACATTTTTTATTCTTGTACATCAGGCTTTTGATCATTTTATTTGTTCTTTTTTAATCTGTCAACACACTACACTAAAGAGATTTTTTTATAATTGTATGTCTCTAGCTACCTGTGCTTAAACTTTTAATGCATGTCATTTTTTCCCAGTGCTTACTAAAATTTCTTTATGCTCTAAAGGAAAAAAAAAAAAGGAATTTTTTTTCCTAACAGATTTGCTGAGGAAAATGTTGACAGATATTCTTCTCCTTTGAAAAGGTAAATCTCTATGAATTAAGCTTACCTTATAATATAAKTTTACTTACCCAGAGATCCCAGTGTGTTAGCCCATAATGCTCCTTGCCTTGTCACCATATTTAGAATTCTATAAGATAGTTAAAAAGATATTAAAAGCATTAGTTCTCTGTATTTACATTAAGGTAGAGTCCTAAGATGTAAAACTGAGGTTTACAATAGGCATAAAGGTTTATTCTGCGATTTGCTTTATGAATTAAAATGGAATAACTACKCAAAGAAACAATCAAAGATACATACAACTGGAAGAAAACGCACCGATCCTGGTAATATATGATCTGCTCTACTATGCATATTACAAATAGCAATGTGTGCAATGTTGACGTGCAACATTTAGCCCTGTCAAGATTTAGGAAAATCTTCCTCTTTTCCAGCTAAACTTGTACTACTAAGAATTCATTCTCTCCCTTAACCTGACTTTTCAGTTCTAGTCAATAAAACTTCATACAGTGATTGTATGTAGTTATCTGATGATAACTACAGGCTGATATCCTTAGACTGAATTAACTGGACGTGAGAGCTCCAGGAAAGCTAGAGTCGTCCTAGCAGGTGTGACTGATGCAGTCAGTGACCATGCTTGAGGGAGCACGGTGCAGCCTGAGAGAGTGGGATGGGAACCAAAACCTGAATAAAAGCCCATCTGGGAGAAAAGAGGCAGGCTGTCGTATCTGTTTCTTGAGGGCAGCACACACAACAAAAGCAAAGAGCACTGGATATTTCTGCATGTATGCTTCCGGACTAGCACTAAAGAGGTGAAGCATATCCTTAGTACGCTCTCAGGGAAGCACAATAGCACTTCTTTCTGGCATCAGCTGTCTCCAGAACGGTGACAAGAGCCAGAAGAAATGACTGACCTTTATCTCCCAGCCATGTAACACTATCACAGGCATGGTACTGCTCTGGACAGCTGACTACCACTGGGAATAGCTCATCATTTAATGCATGGTGTTGCACGTTATATTCTCATTTGGGTTCATTTTCTGTTGCTTTTTTGTTGGCTTGTTTTCACTAGGAGATAAGCATGGCTAGGTAATGAACTAAATGATTATGGAAAAATTCAGTTTCAAATGGGGGCGAAAGAGGGGAAAACAACAAAAAAAGAATAGAGTACTAGTTCTACCCTGTTGCCCTCTCCCTGCCAACTTTGTTAACATTAATTCAGTTCTGAACTGATGAGAAAGTTTGTAATTTTACTAAGATAATTACAACGTGAGATTTGGCAATGGAAGTATTAATAACAAAATTCCAGTTCAGAAAAAAATCTCAGTGTACATAAAAAGAGTCAAAGAAAATCGAGACAGGCATGTCTTTTTCCAAGTCTGATAAGGAAAACATGGAACTTAATATGCTGTTTCAAGGTGATGACCTTCAATCTGCCTTTTCATTTCAATGGTAAGAACTAACTGTGCCCCGACTGCCACCTGCTGGGCTTGACCCATCAGAGCTTGACAAAATGTTTTTCTAGGACTTTGCTYATTTCATGTTCATAAAATACTCCTTTCTTTGTTTAGAAGATTATGGAAGAGTCATAGTCATAGTGAGGAAAATTTTGTTTGCACTTTTAATTGTAGACATGGGTAAAGAGATGGAGGAGGAACATAGAAACACAATTTTAAAAGGAACATAACATAAATATAATATAAAAAATAGCTTCCTCTAATATTCCCTTCTTACAAAGCATTGTGTAAGAGCGAAAATGTTTTCCCCCAGTTATTTCATTCTTCTGGGTTCCTCACAGGTAATCAATTTTTCCTATTGTTGTCTAATCAACCTTCATTATTTTAGAAGCAGAAGCATTCTGCATTAAAAAATGTTCTTTTCTTTATTGCATTCTTTCAGACATTCAGATGTGGTAACAACATGGGAATGCTCTGAGTGTGGAAGCCACAATCAAGAATAACTTGTACCATCTAACACTTGATGCCACGCACCTAGATTGTCCCTAATGCAAAATCATGCAGGCCCAGCTTCTACATTTTAATCTCTTGCAGTTTTGGGAAGGCCAGGAATGCTGTTAGAACTTACTCTCAGGAAAGTGAAAGTCAAACATACCTGAAAATGGGCATTTAGGGAATATTTTTTTATATATATATATATATGTGTGTGTGTGTGTGTGTGTATATATAAATTATCTTTGAAGTAGATTTGTAGCAAATATCAATGCAACAGCTATTCTTTCTTAAATATTTAAGGTAAGTCAGAGGACATACTGATTATTATCACTCACTGGAAAGAAACTGTCACTAATGTGCATATTTTTGAAATTAAGTACTTACTGTACATTTCTAGGTTTTGACCATGCCATGTTCTGTGTCTCCTTCAAGCCTAGCCGCAAGCCATTCAGTGCACCAAACGTTGCTCCTAGTTAGAAGAGCATTAGTTAATACATTTCAGGGGGAAAATATAGCTACTAGAAGCAAATAYTGAGGCTACTGAAAGTGTTTAGACTGAAGCAATTTATCTGAATCTATAAAGACCGAATAACAAGACACTTGACATGATCTTGTTAATTAGTTTGGTACRTTAGTATTACCTGGATAATTGGTGGGAAAAAAAAATACTACCACTTACCTGTCATACAACATCCTCCAATGGTAAAAAAGGCCAATTCAAATCTGCCCCGTGTTTTGTTGGCTCCCGTGGGCAGGATAAACTCATCTGTATCCTGGAAAAAGATCATATAAATTTACATTTTCCATGTATGCCCCTTTCAAAATATATGTTGTTTAAAATTACTAATTTTTCATTCATACAATGAACTAAGGGAAAAACTGAACCAACTAGTGTTTCTAGATAACTGGTACCTACATTGTAACAGAAGACTCTATCTATGTATGTTAATGAAAATAAAGAAAGATTTTCTGAAAATAGCTTGAAAGCTTCTCCTTTTCTAGCTGTCCTAACATTTTAAAAATGGAATGAGACAGTCRAGGAACTCATACTGTCATTTATTTAACAAATGTTTGCTCAACTAAAGATTATAATTTGAAGCTGACAAAACAGGGCTAACTGCTCTTTAGGGATCCTCCTGTTGCCTGATTATACAGCATTGTTTTTCCTTGAGAAACCTATAGAAATGCATTAAGATTTTCCCACTACTTTAAACTGAGAGAAAGCTAAGTAATTCACTGCACTGAAACCTATTTTGAAGATATGACAAACCAAAGAATTTATTCATGACCATCACTGGTTTTGAATGTAAAATATGAAGCTGGTAGTTTGGTTATATTTCTGCATTCCTCTACAGGAATACASTTGTGTTCTCGTACAACACATAGCCTAAAAAGATGAATTTCAGGAGCAGACAAATGATAACCAGCATGTGTGTAGAAATAACAAAACAAAAGCCTACTTTTTTTAGACATTGCTGAGATGTATGTATGCTTATAAGGTGCCAAAGCAGTAAGATCTCTTTTTAAGCTTCTGTGCTTTCCACAATCATGCTTGTAGGCAATCACACTTATTCACTATTTAATTAGTACATCACTAGAACAAGTACAGTCTCAACTGCATTCTGAGCCTTTTTCTTAGTCCATACTTGGCAYTTATATTATCCAGAGTAGTAATTATTTGAGGTGGCTGACAGTATAGATGATTGAGATATTAGAAGCCATATATATATTTAATATAATGAATAAGCTGGACCTGTAATATTGTTCCCTGCAGCTGGACATTTGGAGAAATTGTGTGATTTACTAATTAGTGTTTATTGCTAGTTCCTACTGGTGGGACTCGTTCTTATTTCTACTGCTAGTCTGTGGCACTACTGACACTGTGTTACTAGACCGTAAACACTAAGGGTGACTCTCCTAAGCAGGAGGGTGCACCCTGCATTCTGAAAGCAAATGGATGTTCTGCTTTGGAAACAAGGGAGCTTTGTCCCTCCACAGATACTTTACGACATGAGGCATATTCTAAGGCTAAAAATTTAGGCTCTTGTATTTTGAAATCTTACCATAATTTCTCCATTAATTTTTAGAACAAAAAAAAAATAGAGATGGGAAGGGACCTTCCATCTAGATAATCTAGTCTAATCTAGTCTGCTCCAAGCAGGGTCGTGTCCAGGTAGGTTTTGAGCAGCTAGTGATAAATGACAAAAGCATATAACACATGCTGTTCTATTACCTATTGGTGTAACACTAGAGGGTTATTTTTAGATCTGTTTTACAAGTTATGACACTAATGCCGCCAAATTCCTTTTTTTTTAAAGCCACCTTTTATCTTTAAATCTGTTAGTATACACAAACTCTCCTCCAAAAATGCTGGTCTCGCACCATGTTGTTTCCAGATACACGGTGCCAACAACATGTGACAATGTCAAATGGAGTTTTGGATAGAGATCTATATAATCGCTAGCCCTTTTTTAATCACTACTCAAAAACAGGTTAGAAAACTGTACTAGCGAATCCACCTCAGACAGATGAAATCCTTTGTTTACTATGTTTAGAGGAATTTTACATTGTAATTTTGACCACTACAGCTTATAGGAGAAAAAAAAATAAGTTCCCTCAGTTGCATTCAGAGCTTTTCCTATGTGCAAAAGCGGTGATAAAGAAAACAAAATGAAGCAAAAGGCTCAGATTAGCAGATACTGAGTACTTTCAGTGCTACTCCAGGAAAATTTACTGTTCACAGATAATGCAAGCCATATATACATAATAAACTAAGTAAATGAAATCATTAAGACATGCTTCCTTATTTACCTAAAGCTTTTTGGTTATGTTTAATATAACAAAAAAAAAAAAAAAGGAGGAAACACATCATATGATGCACACATCATATCAACGATGGGATTAGTTATCAAAAACCCATTTTTCTCACCTGTACTAGGTACCTGGGGTCCAAATTTAAATATGGAGATAAAGGATTCATTCCGGTGACTGGAAGAAAAGAAAGAACACGGTGACTGCCACTTTCTCTCATAATTTCAGGCCCGCTAAGTCAAGCAGGGCAGAGCCCGGGGATGGAGCCAATGGGAGTCCCGTCACCGCGCCGCACAACGGTTAAAACGGGCAGGCGCCTGCAGGACGCCCCTGKTTAGGGGAGCGCCGCGCTCAGGTACGCGCTGCGTTTCCTGCCCGGCGGCCGCCCCGTGCAGCCCGGCCCGCGCCATGACGCTTCCTTCCCCCTCGCCCCTCTTCCCCTCCCGCCGCTACTCACGCGGTACCCCGGCCAGGTCCGCGTGCGAGTAGCCCGCGCTGCCCGCGCCGAAGAGGCCGCTGAGGCCGCTGCCCTTGGAGTTGCCGCCGCCGCCGCC